GATGGCAGGTCAATTCAATTTCTGTTGCTCTTATGGCTTCATCATCTGTAACGAGAAAAGCAGCATCTCAATTATAGGGCCCTGTTTCACAAAACTTGTCATCAGTGATAAATGACGGTTTATGTTATAAGCTAGTGAAATCCTTGCTTCGGATTGGTTATCAGCAGATGTGTCACTGATTTTTGTCATTTGTCATTGAATAAAGCCTTTGTGAAACAGGTCCCAGGATCTAATGCCCTTCTGGCTCTCTATGGGTGCGTTCAATCGAATTTTCGAAGCTAGAATCACAAACATGAATCACAAATCAAAACGCCGTTACAAAAAACAAGGTCACTGCGGTTAGCGTTCAAGCGATTTTTCATCAACGCTGATTCTAGCTCATTTCGAGCCCAGCCACTCCGCATCACACTCGCAGTTTGACCCAGGAAGTATAGGTCAACTTCGGCGCGCGCTTTTTGGAATTGTTTACGGCCGACTGTCGACTGCTGTTTTGAGCATAGATCGCAATAATAAAACAAAGAATGAGAAGGTGATGGAAGGAAGAAACAAAAAATAACATAAGGAAAGACAGAAAGAGAAAGTGATAGAGTTATTAAAACGAAGAATAACGTAAGAGAAGGTGATATAGGGATATAAGGAAGAAACAAAGAATGACATAAGGAAAGGCAGAAAGAGAAAGTGATAGAATTATAAAAACAAAGAATAACATAAGAGAAAGTGATAGAAGGAAGAAACAAAGAATAACATAAGGAAAGACAGAAAGAGAAAGTGATATAATGATTGAAACAAAGAATAACATAAGAGAAAGTGATAGAATTATAAAAACAAAGAATAATATAAGAGAAGGTGATAGAAGGAAGGAACAAAGAATAACATAAGGAAAGACAGAAAGAGAAAGTGATAGAATGCTTAAAACAGAGAATTACATAAAACAAAGCTGATAGAAGGAAAAAACAAAGATTAACATAAGAATAGAAGGAAAAAACAAAGAATAACATAAGAATAAAAGGAAGAAACAAAGAATAACATAAGGAAAGACAGAAAGAGAAAGTGATAGAATGATTAAAACAAAGAATAACATAAGAGAATGTGAGTGAAGGGAAAAAACAAAGATTAACATAAGAATAGAAAGAAGAAACAAAGAATAACAAAAGAGAAAGTGATAGAATTATAAAAACAAAGAATTACATAAGAAAAGCTGATAGAAGGAAAAAAAACTAAGAATGAGAAGGTGATGGAAGGAAGAAACAAAAAATAACATAAGGAAAGGCAGAAAGAGAAAGTGATAGAATTATAAAAACAAAGAATAACATAAGAGAAAGTGATAGAAGGAAGGAACAAAGAATAACATAAGGAAAGACAGAAAGAGAAAGTGATAGAATGCTTAAAACAGAGAATTACATAAAACAAAGCTGATAGAAGGAAAAAACAAAGATTAACATAAGAATAGAAGGAAAAAACAAAGAATAACATAAGAATAAAAGGAAGAAACAAAGAATAACATAAGGAAAGACAGAAAGAGAAAGTGATAGAATGATTAAAACAAAGAATAACATAAGAGAATGTGAGTGAAGGGAAAAAACAAAGATTAACATAAGAATAGAAAGAAGAAACAAAGAATAACAAAAGAGAAAGTGATAGAATTATAAAAACAAAGAATTACATAAGAAAAGCTGATAGAAGGAAAAAAAACTAAGAATAACATAAGAATAGAAAGAAGAAACAAAAAATAACAAAAAGAGAATGTGATACAAGGAAGAAACAAAGAATAACATAAGGAAAGACAGAAAGAGAAAGTGATACTAATGATTAAAACAAAGAATAACATAAGAGAATGTGAGTGAAGGGAAAAAACAAAGATTAACATAAGAATAGAAGGAAAAAACAAAGAATAACATAAGAATAAAAGGAAGAAACAAAGAATAACATAAGGAAAGACAGAAAGAGAAAGTGATAGAATGATTAAAACAAAGAATAACATAAGAGAATGTGAGTGAAGGGAAAAAACAAAGATTAACATAAGAATAGAAAGAAGAAACAAAGAATAACAAAAGAGAAAGTGATAGAATTATAAAAACAAAGAATTACATAAGAAAAGCTGATAGAAGGAAAAAAAACTAAGAATAACATAAGAATAGAAAGAAGAAACAAAAAATAACAAAAAGAGAATGTGATACAAGGAAGAAACAAAGAATAACATAAGGAAAGACAGAAAGAGAAAGTGATACTAATGATTAAAACAAAGAATAACATAAGAGAATGTGAGTGAAGGGAAAAAACAAAGATTAACATAAGAATAGAAAGAAGAAACAAAGAATAACAAAAGAGAAAGTGATAGAATTATAAAAACAAAGAATTACATAAGAAAAGCTGATAGAAGGAAAAAAAACTAAGAATAACATAAGAATAGAAAGAAGAAACAAAAAATAACAAAAAGAGAATGTGATACAAGGAAGAAACAAAGAATAACATAAGGAAAGACAGAAAGAGAAAGTGATACTAATGATTAAAACAAAGAATAACATAAGAGAATGTGAGTGAAGGGAAAAAACAAAGATTAACATAAGAATAGAAAGAAGAAACAAAAAATAACAAAAGAGAAAGTGATAGAATTATAAAAACAAGGAATTACATAAGAAAAGCTGATAGAAGGAAAAAAAACAAAGAATAACATAAGAATAGAAGGAAGAAACAAAGAATAACATAAGGAAAGACAGAAAGAGAAAAAGATAGAAGGAAAACAAGGTATAACATAACGGAAAAGGCCACGATAAAGAGCATGGTATAGTAAACGCAAATTGCATGAAAAGCAGGCGCGCGGTTTTTGCCCAAACCGGAACAGGCTCCGTCATACAATCATGATTGAAAACTCCGTCCGTTCAATCGAATTTTAGCGACCGTGATTCTGCAGAATCATGATACAAAACGCATCTTTTTCAGCGTTTCATGTTTGTGTTTTCAAACACGTTTATTTTTACGACCGACCAAAAAATCGCTTGAACGCATTGCGTTTTAAACTAAACGTCTTTAGAAACCGTGATTCTAGGGTGAAAAAGTGTCGATTAAACGCACCCTATATATGACATTCAGTAATTTGAACTTTGACCTCAAGTTACGTTTATCATGGATTATATTTATCATGTAACAAACAAGTCGAGAGCTACAAGTTGAGAATTTCAACATACCCCTAATATCGAGAGCTAGACAGGTTTTACTAAGGGCGCGTTCATGCTTGATTTTGAAGGCAGAATGAGCGATTTGTAACGCTCATCGTAAACGCTCATCGTAATCGCTGCACTGTTCATGCTCACTTCTCCAGGCAATTCTCCTTGGGTGGCCTTCAGCTGGATTCGCAAACCTGTGTGCGCAAGCTACGTAGACCCACTAGAGGTCAGTGCGTTGACCCCATTTAAACGCGTTTACAAATTGTAAACGCATCTTTTTGTGAGTTTACGATCGGCGATCGTGATCGCCGTTTTTCTGTGATTCTACAAAAGTGAGCATGAATGCAATCGTGTTTTAAACTAAACGCGTAACAGATGCCTGATTCTGGCCGTCAAAATCAAGCATGAACGCGCCCTTATATAATATTGACTGGCCTTGAGGGAGCGGATATCCGGAAATATTGCCCTTACTGAAATCATAGGTGGATTTTATCAATTTGCTGGTACAGTAGTTGCTTAACAACTTCCGACAAAACACTGAAATTTTAGAAAACTAAGGAAAAATATGATGGTAATATCATCGCTGTTTTCACGAAGTGACGGTAGTGAAAAAAAAAAGCATTCACTTTGCGTGACGATTTTCCTCACTACCGTCACTTCGTGAAAACAAGGACGATATAATGAACATCATCACAGGCAGACTAAAAAGTTATATAAATTCAATGTTGCCTCCCTGCAATATTGATTAAAACTATACCGGTGTCTGAAAGTGCCTAGAAAGGTGTTATAATTTAAGAAACGGAAGAGAGAGATGGGATTGTCATTTTCTTGAGACAAAGATGATAATCGATGTTGGGTGGGGAAAAATTCATTTACCCTGAACTTAAATTACAAAAACATAAAGAGTAAATAACATTTCACAAAGAAAAACAAGCAAGCAGAATAATAAGTAATCACTAAAGACAGAGGTGGGTGTCCTACGTAATCTGTATACGTGTGCTGAAAGGAAATTGTAAATAAAGTGAAAAGAAAAAGGAGGAAAAAATATCTTGAAGCTCAGTAAATGTCATTTTGCCTCAAACCTTGAATATGGATTTGTAACATTTTTAAATATATTAAAGTATTGATGGATAGTTGAATCATAATATAATTTTTCATTTAAATATTGTGGGAGATTCTAGTAACATGTAGATCAAAGAGGGTAGCAGGCAGAAGGGAGGGAGGAAAGAGCTGGGGGAGGGAGGGCGGGAAGAGATGATGAGGGGAGAGATGATGAGGGGAGAGAAAGGGAGAGGAGGGGTGAGGAGGGGAGTGGAAGGGAGAGGAGGGGAGAGGATGGGAGATGAGGGGAGAGGAGGGGAGTGGAGGGGGGAGGAGGGAAAGAGGAGGGAAAGAGGAGGGAAGGAGGGAAAGAGGAAGGAAGGAGGGAAAGAGGGAGGGGGAAGGATGAGAGAGGAGGGAAGGAGGGAAGGAGGGAAGGAGGGGAAAGGAGGGGAGAGAAAGGGAGAGGAGGGGAGAGGAAAGGAGATGAGGGGAGAAGAGGGGGAGGATGGGAAGTGCAGGGGGGAAGAGGATGGGAAGTGCAGGGGGAAAGGAGGGGAAGGGGGAAGAAGGGGAAGGGGGAAGGGGGAAGAAGGGGAAGGGGGAAGGGGGGAAGGAGGGGAAGGGGGAAGGAGGGGAGAAGGGAAGAACAGGAAAGAAGGGAAGAGCAGGAGGAAAGGGGAAAAGGATGGGAAGAGGGAAGGAGAGGAGGAGTAAACAGCAGGAGGAGAAGGGGAGAAGGACAAAGGGATGAAAGGGATCGAGAGGGAGAAGGAGGGAGGGGAGGGAGAGTGAGGTTGACAGAGGGGAGGGATATATATACTCACTGCTGTAATATCTGCTGATTGTTGATGATTTTCTGGATGAAATCATGGAGGCCTTCTCTTCTCTGACGGATGAATTCTGGGTCAAAGTTGTTGCCAAAGAGCTTCTTGCCCGGCAGCTTGAGGTCTGCACCGGGAAACTTCTTCTTCAGCTGTATAATGGAGTGAATAAGGGAGAGATGGAGGAAGAGAGAGAAAGAAAGAGGATGAGAAAGAGAGAGAGAGAGGTCCAGACAGTGACAAATAAAGAGAGAGAGGGGAGGGAGGAAGAGAAAGAGAAAGAGAAAGAGAAAGAGAAAGAGAAAGAGAAAGAGAAAGAGAAAGAGAAAGAGAAAGAGAAAGAGAGAAAGAGAAAGAGAAAGAAAGAAAAAGAGAAAGAGAAAGAGAAAGAGAAAGAGAGAGAGAGAGAGACAGGCAGACAGATACAGATAAAGAGAGAGAGAGAGAGAGAGAGAGAGAGACACACACACAGACAGAAACAGAGAGGGAGAGTGATTGAGAGGAAAGGAGAGATTGAGAGGAAGATATATAATGCAGACATGCACAGCGAGAAAAGGAAAGAGGGAAAAGGAAAGAGGGAAAAGGAAAGAGGGAAAGAAAAAGAACATGAGATGGTAAAAATTAATAGAGAAATCAAAAACAAAACCAAGTTTATTTTGGTCTAGCATCATATACAGTGGGTGGATTATTCAATAGATGTTGAGAACAACAACATGTCAGAGGCCAAAAATGATAAATCACATTGAAGGTGTATATATATAGAACATTGCAATATTATATGACCATGAATATATCAAAGTGTGAATCCAATGCATCCAGCTTTCACAAGAGGCCTGTTTTCATCAGACCGAAGTTGCAAAATAAACCCGCTATTTTCAGACTCGGGATATTTCCCCTAAGCTCGAAACTGCATCTTCACCAGCCCGATACGCTCATCACAAACTAGATGAAGTCTGGTGCAAATCAGCCCGCTATTTCCTAAACAGCGGGTTATTTTGGAAACAAGACCAAGATTTCTCAGGATATTTTATCAACCAAATATCTCTCTAATTGCAACTGCGGGCTGATGAGGGCACAGATTAGCTGGCTATTCGGAGATCGGGCTAGTTAAAATAGCAGGTTCTTTTGCAAATTTGGTCTGATGAGGACAGACCTAAGGATGAATGTCTCAGAGAGAATGAAAATAACACGTCTTGTCTAGAGGACATGCTGTCTGGGATTTGAACTTGCAACCTTCCACGACAAGAAGATTTATTACAGACATCCGGTCAAACCATCTCCCAGGCACTGTAAAAGATCAACGCAACAAGAATAGGCAATGGCTTTGGCTTTGATTGAATTACAGCCCTTCTATACATTATTTTTTCTTTCCACACATTTCACATTATAAAGGCATTGTTTAAAGATAAAGACCAGTTATGGTCATGCGATTGCATTGTGAAAGAAACGTTGTGAAATCGATCAGAAAAGGTTGATCATCTAGCATAGATGTACGGCAAGGTTCTGGAATCATCAAAATGATTAAGAAATTTGGCCCAGTCTTCATAAAGTTACAAGCACTGTACACAGAAAGATGTATATGGTACCACGCACGCATGCGCAACATGTGCGTTTTTATCTCTCACATCCCAATAGATAAACTAATTTACTAAATATATCAATTTGTAGGCGGTTTCCCGGGAAAATTGTTATCATCATGTATTATTCAAAACATATTCTTTCACATGATTGGTAATAAGAGCTTCCATTTCATTTTTTGAAATTGGGGCGTTCCCAATACTGGTCTTTACCTTTAACAATGTTTCCAGTTTTACAAATCTAAGATGCATGGCCCTATGTGTTATCAGTGTCTGTGATATGGTGTAATATGATGATACAATGTACTCTAGAGTCGATTGTGGACTGCTGAGATTATTTCTAGATGAAACATAAATGCTGGATCATCCCAGGGTCTATTTCAGAATGTGCTGTCATCAGCATTAATTCAGCAATACAAGATGGCATCACATTCGATTCTATTATCACAAACAATTCTATTATCATGAGCGATTCTATATCATGAGCGATGAATCAAGAATTGAACTTCAACATAACATTGAACCGCTCAATATAGAACTGTCATTTATTACTATACACTTGATTTATGAGTTCCTACATGTACCTAATACCTTAGAAGTTCATACACAGTTTGTCCAAACAAAAACAAAATCTGTTGTGCAAGCATCATCCACAATACATTTATTGCAGACATGTTGCGGCACACCTGTATGGCAGGGGAAAAACCCAAACATAACATAAAGAAGTTCTTTTCTGACTCGGGTTTTTGTTAATGCTGAATAAACTTTGACATACAGGTACGTGTACAACTATGAGTATCATACATGTATGAAAAGCATTTTGACATTAAACAGTAAATGCACAGATTCAGATAGATCATCTTTAAAGGCATTTGTTTTCAGTAACAAAGGCTAAATTGTCTACGTCAAAATTGCTCTCGGCCAATCAAATGCCCAATTTCAGTAGCTTGTAACAGTTCCTGAAACTTGTTACTGATAACAAGTTTGATGAAACTAGCTGGCCCTGATGTACTTTTGCACTCTGTATCAATGTACTCTCTGATATTATCTTACCATATCCTACTGCAAATGTCTAATCTTAGATTATTAATAGAGCAATAAGATATGAGAAATGGTTTAAACTAGCTTAAGTAGAAATTCCCAGTAACTGTCATCAGAAAACAATTAAAATTAACATGACCCATGTATGACCCATGGCTGATATAAAAAACTGTTGAGCTTTTGTAATTTTCTTTTTCAGAGAAAGTCACATTTTTTCTTATATCAAGTCATTAGCAGGGGCTAGAGTGCTACAAAAGTAGAGAGAGATCATTAAAATAAGATCATACAGTACTACATGTACCAGTATATCTTGATCAAAGGTGGTTTTGAGGCCGCCATCCTAGTCAAGCATCGCTTATGATTGCAGTCTCCTGCACTTTTTCACAGATAGTTCGGATGATACTTTAAATTTATAATAATATGATATAGAAATATTAAGTTTGTTATCATACATTTTGACATGAAGTTATTGTTTGCATATTTTATATTATAATACTAGGACACTGCTAGCGTTTAAATTGCACAGATAGGACATATTCTATGTCGTGTGACATATTCTATGTGACATATTCATAATTCCGGCACAGTTCTACACAATTTGATGTTGGCTGCAAAAGGAATACACTACCTTTAATGCCCTTCAAACAAAACAAACACATTATAATAATAAACCAATCAAGAGCCTGAGCAATTTATGTACATGTAGCTATATTAAATTAAATACCTATTAATAAAAGCAATGTTGTAGGCGTACATACTGTACATGTTAACTATAACGGAGGTGTCGAAATGATTTATTTTACGAGGCTTTTATTTGCACAGTATATCGAAGGGCACAAGTTATCAAATCAAAATCTCGTTCTAAACACTTGCACATTCACATGCAAGTTATGATGATGGTGCAAGTGAACACAATGTACATAACATTGTATGTCACAGTACATATACTTTTATTAGCATGTGTTTTTCACATACATGGACCGTTAGGTACAATACAAATTTGTACAATAAAATATTACATGACGTGTATATGCCTGTTCCCCCATGTATAATAACAAAAGGATATCATCCTTTTGACTCTAAACAGACGATACACAGTTCTCATTAATAATATTTTTAAAATTAAAGTTTACATTTTTAATGAAAATATTTGACTTTGAAGAAGACTACTCTGAAGTGGGTAGCAAAACGTATGCACATCATTAAAAGGTGTATTTACTTAAAATTCTAAGATATTTTTGACTTGAGTTTCAAAGTTCACATTACACGTGTTACACAGCGAGCAACTTGCTTACCGGTACGGTCACAGATAATTAGGGTAAAGTTTCTCCATTTATTTTCTCTGAACAAAGGTTGAAGTGGGTGTGCTACCAGTATAAGTATCTTACCCCATTCAGACTCTGGATTTCATTGTATAACTATACGATGCATGGTATACATTGTCCTTATTACATTTTTCCAGTCCGAATGTCGTATCTAACGAAAAGTCATATGTAATACACATATGTACACGTAGCATCATTGAGCATCATTTCAATCGAAAACTTAATCGAAAACTTGATCGAGAATCAGGGTCCCGTTCTAGTCTAAAAGTTGCATTGCACTTAAACTTTTCAATTGGGTGGGGCTTATCGTGAACACTCCTTGATTATTGGCCAGCCGACCTCTTTAAAACAACATTCTCTTTACGAAAGTTTCACTTTGTGTATACCGGTATGCCCCCTTTCACAACATGATGATTCTTTATACAACGTTTCTTTATACAATTTTTGTATAGATTTCTCCAGTTTGAACAGGCTTTTTAAAATAGTGTTTCTTATCTCATACAACGATTCTTTATACGATTTTTGTGTAGATTTCTCCAGTTTGAACAGGCTTTTTAAAATAGTGTTTCTTATCTTATACAACGATTCTTTATACGATTTTTGTGTAGATTTCTCCAGTTTGAACAGGCTTTTTTAAATAGTGTTTCTTATCTGCAGCATATGATTCACAATTACAAACATCAAACGCTTTGTAAGATGTTGTTGTTTCAAGAACTAGAATGCTTTCAGAATAGTAAGACAACATGTTTGTTTACAGAACATGTAGTACCAGTAACCCCTTTTCATGACAAAGGCATGTTCACTGTTTGTTCACAGTTACTGGTAGATATATTTCTTCAGTCATAATATCTCGCCTTGGTCTAGCATAATGAAGCCATACGTTGAATATTGTATTGTAACCATATTTTCATGTGTGTAAAACAACATGTTTTTTTTTAAAGTGTATATATTTTGGTTCAATTTTGTTTACACTATTCAATTTCATTGTAAATCAACTATCACGACTTCCTGAACTTTGAGTGTTGATGGTTTTTAAACCGAATAAATATTAAATAAATAAATAAAATTTAGTGAAATACATGTTCATTGACAATGTGTGCACTACATCTGGAGCAAAGGGAAAGATATAAATCTTTAAAGAAACATGTATGCCTACAATCATGTGAATGCTGATACTTCATTTATAACACTTTTTGGTCGGATGTTGTTAATTGATTGTTTCATCTCTCATTATATATAACATTAAAGAGAAGGTTGAGTTCTGGGGAGAGGTGAAAAATACTTTGTGAGCATCATCATTGTTATTATGCAAGTGTGGAAGAACATCAGATAAAAAATGTTCCCTGAAAAGCATGGATCTTCAAATGCCTTCATATTCAGTATACATGTAGTATACAAATCGGGACATATATTTATGCCACATGTTTGTGGAGTCCCATATATATTTTTCTGTGTACAGTGCTTGTAAATTTACCAAGGCTGGGCCAAATTTATGATTATTTTGATGATTCCAGAACCTTGCAGTACACACCAATACTTACATGTATATGCTAGGCGATCAACCTTTTCTGATCGATATCGAGAAATTATAGTATAGTATTAATGACTGCTTTGAGAGAAATAGTTGTTTTATTACGCTCAAGGGAAGGTTAGAATTGTGCTATTCCCCGAGGCTTGCCGAGGGGAATAGCCCAATTGTAACCTTCCCGAGAGCGTATGAAAACAACTATTTCTCGAATATTAAAGCAGTCATTAATACTTTTATATGCCGAAAAAAAATAGACTAAAAAATGAAAAATTAAAAATATTTATCATTTTTGTCGAAGACGGGATTCGAACTCTTGCGTACAACAAGAGGTGTACCGAAAACCAACGCTTAGACCACTCGGCTATGGCCCGCCGTTAACATGCTTGGCAGTTTTCTCCGATATATACATTAAAATGGATTGAAACCGGCTTCGCGTGTGATGAATGCTTCGCAAAAGCTCCATATACGGACTCTTCTTTTACTTTTGCAATGCATATTGGCACGAACTTAGATCAAGATCTATCGGCAGATGTTGTTTTTTTGTTTTTGGAAGTTTATTTTCGTCTTCATGTCAACAATGCAAGATAATATTGTCGGTAAGATCGATCGAGATTCAATTGTATTGAAATTACCGACCAATCCTTCGCACACATACGGCATCCTCCATCGCTCAAACCATTTTTTAACATGTAAACCTATGGGGTAACCATGGAGGCTGACCAACTATTTTTAATAACCATGGTTATTAAAAATATTGAAATGTTTTAAGCATGGTTACCGAGAATTTTACAGGAACAGTTGAAGTTTATGAATGCAATTCGACCAATCAGATGGCTGGATTTCTTAAGTGAGGTATATAAATATCTATAATAAATCTCTCGTCTCAGGAATATTTCCTAACAAACTTAAAGTGGCCAAAGTTATTCCGTTATACAAAAAAGGACCAGTAGGTAATATAGAAAATTACAGGCCAATTGCACTGTTGTCAACTTTTTCAAAATTACTCGAAAAGATTATGTTTAAAAGACTTTATACATTTTTGTTAAAAAATAATTCCTTAGCTTCAGAGCAATTTGGTTTCCGGAAAAATCATTCCACGTCTTTAAGCATATTTAACATTACAAATTATATAGCGAGTGCATTTGATGAAGGGAAATTTTGTTGTGGAGTATTTATGGATCTCTCCAAAGCATTTGATACCATCGACCATCACATCCTGCTAAAAAAATTGCATTATTATGGTATAAGAGGTGTTCCTCTAGAATGGTTTAGGAGTTATTTATTAGGAAGAAAACAGTATGTGATGGCCGATGGTACAGAATCTGATTGTTTGTGTATTAATACGGGTGTCCCACAGGGATCTGTGCTCGGGCCACTGTTATTTCTGTTGTACATTAATGATATTTTAAATTCCTCAAGTATTTTAAAATTTTCATTATTTGCTGATGACACTGCTGTTATTTCTTCTCATAAAGATATTAATTTACTAATTAGTAATATAAATTATGAATTAAGGAAAATAAGTGAGTGGTATATTTGTAATAAGTTGTTTCTTAATGCCGAAAAAACCCACTATGTAATTTTTCATTCTAAACAAAAAAGGATTCCTAGTCATGTTGCCCCGGTGCGTATTAAAGATGATGTTCTTAAGAAAACTGATATTGTTGAATTTTTAGGTATCAAACTTCATGAATCACTTGACTGGTGCCACCATATTACCCATATTTGTTCAAAAATTTCAAGGGGGGTTGGTATCATGTCATTCTTTAAAAAGACGTTGCCGAAACATATATTATTAACTATTTACAACAGTATTGTTTTACCGCATATCAACTACTGTAATATTATTTGGGGTAATACTTACAAGACTCATTTATATAAAATTCATATTCTTCAGAAACGTGCTGTTCGTATAATTTCTAATTCTAACTATTTGACTTCAAGTGCTCCTTTGTTTTATGATTTAAAATGTTTGCCAGTCTTTGACCTCATAAAATTAAACAATTTAGTCTTCATGTTCAAATTTCATAAACAAGAGCTCCCATTAATATTTAATAACATGTTTAAAACAAATTCTTTTTACCATTCTTACGAAACCAGAAACAAATCAAACTATCATTACCCCTTTGTACGTACTTCCTTGACCCAACACACTTTAAGATTCCAGGGTATACATGATTGGAATTCCTTACCTTATCATTTAAAAAGTAGTTCAACCCTATCAAAGTTTAAATATTCATGTAAACAGTTCTTGTTTAAATCAAATAAAGTGCACTGAGTAAATTTTTTTTTTTTTTTTTTTCTTCTTTTTTTTTTCTTCTTTTTTTCTGTACAATGTTCTGCCTGCGGTGTGTTGGTGTGTCTGTATGCATGTGAATGAATGAGGGTGGGTGTATGTTTGTTTTGATAAGTTTTACAATATTTGTTATAATAATTTGCTTGTATGATTACTTTTGTACAGGGCCCCATTCTCACAAGCTTTGCTTTTCTTGGGGTCCTGCCGATTTTGCTGTTAATTTGATATGTATTTTATTTTGAATTTTAATGGAAAATAAATGAAATGAAATGAATGAAATATATGTATGGACGTATTGCAAAAAGTTTTTAACATATTATTGACCAGTTCATTCAGAATCAAGATGGCTACTTACAACTTCATAGAGTTTGTGGAATTCATTGTATCTTCTGAAGATGAACCAGGTCTTCCCTGCAGCCACGACAACCACCTTGTAAACCTGTGACAAAGGCAAGAAAAATAGTGGCACATTTTAGTAAAATTACTTAAAATAAAGGATATTACACATTGTACAAAAACACAAAGTAAAGCTGTGGAGAAAATGGAGAAAAGGGATTTTGGGGATTTTGTTCTGCTTAAGTTACAAATTTCAAGCAAATTAATGACGTCCTGTACATGTGTATGTAGGTTTGATAATACAGTGCTGAAAACCACTCACAGTCACACACAAATTCTCTCTCTCTCTCTGTCCTCCTCCTTTCCTTCCCCTCCTCCTCCCCTCCCTCCCCCCCCCCCCCCCCCCCCCCCCCCCCCCTCTCTCTCTCTCTCTCTCTCTCTCTCTCTCTCTCTCTCCTCCTCCTCCTCCTCCTCCTCCTCCTCCTCCTCCTCCTCCTCCTCCTCCTCCTCCCCCTCCCCCTCCCCCTCCCCCTCCCCCTCCTCCCCCTCCTCCCCTCCTCCCCCCTCCTCCCCCCTCCTCCCCCCTCCTCCTCCTCCTCCTCCTCCTCCTCCTCCTCCTCCTCCTCCTTCTTCTTCTTCTTCCTCTCTTTTCCCTGTCATCCCACTGTACTCCACGTGGAAGAGCTTGGTGTTGATTGACATCACTTGCTGCTGGTTGACATCAACACAAACAAGGCAGTAATATAAAGAAAACAGCAGAAAAAGGTTGTGAAAACAAGAGGCAAGTCAACCTTGCACGTAATGTGCATAGATCTGCATGTGACAAGAACTATTGTATAAAAATAAAGTCATGCACCGCGACACGTAACCCACATGAGCAAAGATGTAGTCATTTTCTATTAACGCAATTATTGTCATCTTACCACTTTGAAAAGCAACATTTGCATGGACCATTAATCAGCTCAAGCCCAAGGCCTTTCTTATAATGTTCTCCTTTTCTTTGTATGTCTTTATGATTTATCATAATGCAGGGGGAAAAATACACAGGGGCTCGGGGCAAATTAGCCTGGAAATGCCAAAAACAGCTCCCAAAGTCATAAAAGAGCCCCCCAATATTTGTATAGAGTTCAACACAAAACAAATTAAATAGTGTTATTTTCATACTAGCAAGCTTGAAAAATAGCCCCCCAAATTTTTAAATATTTTTTCCCTGATAATGTGTCAGTTCATTTATTGCTGAAGTATCAATAAAGTGATGGACCAACAACAACAAAAATAATAATAAAAAGTAACCGGTAATGCAAAAGTACACATACAAATCAATAGGTTTATTTCTCTATCTTTTGTAATATATATTATTTTGACATGCAATGTGCAAGACACGCGCCCAAACCGCTTTCTCAATCCACTTTCCTAAACAAACAATCGCTGTTTTCAAATTCCCTCATCAAGTCATAAATCCTGAGATTCTTATCTTGACAGATTGTCTCAGGACATAACATCTCTCCATTTATCTTGACTTACAATCCTGTCATCTTCATATCATCCTTTCATCCTCCTCCTCCTCCTCTATCCCTCCTTCGCACTTTACATTTGTTTTGTATATATATATATATATATATATATATATATATATATATATATATATATATATATTTCTGCCTCACATATCCCCTTTTCTCCCTCCTTTCTCCTCCTCCTCCTCTCTCCCTGTAGCCATCTCTCCTCCTTTCCCTCTCTCTATCCCCCATCTCCCTTCTCTCTCTCTCTCTCTCTCTCTCTCTCTCTCTCTTCCTCCCTCCTCCACCTCTCTCTCTTCCTCTCTCCCTGTCTCTGTAACCCTTTCCCCTCCTCCCTGTGCTCTACTCCCAGAGTCCTACTCTCACCTCCTCTCTCTCTCTCTCCCTCTCTTTCTCTCTCTCTCCCTCCCTCCCTTCCTCCTCTCTCTATATCTTTCTCTTTCTGTCTCTCTCCATCTCTCTATCTCAAATATACATGTAGCTCTCATAGGTCCATGATCTCTCTATAATATTCAACCACCCTACAATTCATCTCACTCTATCTCTCTCTCACTCTCTCTCTCTCTCTCTCTCTCTACCTCTGTCTCTCGATAACTTAATAGATCGACTTTAATCCAACAAAGGCCTCTGGAATTAGTCTTTCGTCAGCATATGCGGTTTGAGAGCACTGAAAGTGAATATTTGAATATTTATGTGGGAGGGGATGATTGTAGAGTCCGTATAAAGGCTACAAATTGGCATGCATGTCAAGTGATAGTGAAGTGGGCATAATTTCCCTTGTCTCGATGCTCTTCGGCAGAGGTTTACATTTACAATTACAACAACCTTAATGCAAATGATGGTTCAATCAGAGTGGTGTACTAGCATATCCTCATCAGAGATGGAAACTTTTCTTGCATTTTTTCTCTTGAAAAAAATAATCAGGTTGCCTTGGATTTTATGTAAGGTATATTGGCCTTTCCTCCTACTCCTAACAAAGTAACCATTGCCATCCTTCAAAATAAAAGCAAGAGCCCAGAGGTTCTGAATTTGAGCCACGATTCCTGCATACAGTACATGTAGGACCCAGGGGGGGGGGGGGGGGGGGGGGGGGGCCTTTCACAAAACTTGTCATCAGTGACAAATGACAATTTTTGTTATAAGCAACTGAAATCCTTGCTTCTGATTGGTTATCAGCAGATATGTCACTGATTTTTGTCATTTGTCATTGAAAAAGGCTTTGTGAAAAAAGGCTTTGTGAAAAAAGGCTTTGTGAAAAAGGCTTTGTGAAACAGGCCTCAGGAGATGATGGATGCAGCGATTCTTAATACGATACATAATTAATTTCTCCCTCTCTCCCTTAATTTCTTCTTCTCCAGCAAAAAGAAACTGCCCTCTTTTAAAACTGCGTGAGCTAGTAGTGTGCGATACACTTTAGAAAAGGAAATACTGGACAGATACATGTATCATATGGAGGCCAAATTACAAGTACATACATCCTAGCCTTAAAGCTAAACTTTAGTACTGGTAATGCGATTGCATTGTGAAAGAAAAGGTGTGAAAGGATCAGAAACAGTTGATCATGTAGCATGTAAGTATTGGTGTGCACTGCAAGGTTCTGGAGTCATCAAAATCATAATAAATTTGACCGAGTCTTGGTAAAGTAACAAACACTCACATAGAAAGCTATATATGGGACAACACACATGGTGTCGGGGATGGTACTACCTTGGTTTCCTTGTCTTTCTATGCTCATTACTCAGCCAGTATACATTTTCTTCCAAAATTGTTTGGCACATGTCACTTATTTGTAATCTTGAACATTCAGTGTAAGTTTCGTTTGATTCTGTGAGAATTAAATTTTTTTTTTTACCAGTACTGGAGTTTATCTTTAAAGAGAAGGTTGAGTTCTGGGAAGAGGTGAAAAATAATTTGTGAGCGTTATCATTCTTATTATGCAAGTGTGGAAGAACATCAGATAAGAAATGTTCCCTGAAAAGCATGGCTCTTTAAATGCCTTCATATTCTAAATATGTCATGTTCATCGTAAAACTCGGGGGTAGGTTTTTTACGCCACGTGTTCGTGTAGTCCCATATACATCTTTCTGTGTACAGTGTTTGTAACTTTACCAAAACTTGGCCAAATTTCTTATCATTTTGATGATTCCAGAACCTTGCAATACACACAAATTCTTATATGCTAAATGATCAACCTTTTCAGGTCGATTCCACACCGTTTCTTTCACAATGCAATCGCATGACCAGAACTCAACTTCATCTTTAAAATTACTTTTACATGTACTTTGAGTCTGAACTCTGAAGTAATATGATTCCAGTCATGAAGGACATTCAGAATTTTGATGGGTAGTTATATGAAATCTATATCAGCGAAACATTTTATGTGTATGCTGTTGTCCTGTGTATGATGATTGTGATCTACATGTATATCAAATTGAAGACTTCAAGCTTTTCAAGTTTATTTGTTTTACATTTCACAAAACAGAATTCACCTAATGACAAAATTTTAACACAATATGAAATATACTCAAAGTATGACATTATATAATCAAGTCTTTGTAAAGACGTCAAAATCAATTGTTTTAAATGGTAGGTTATACAGGGTGAAATGTGAGGAACAGTATTAATAAACAAGACAACAAGACTTTGCCATTTTAAATTTGATATATAGACCGTCACTCATTTCCCACTCTGCACTCTTTAAAATGTACCTGCTAACAAAATTAATGACAATCATTTCATATTCTATTAAAGATGTGCAATTACATGTAACTCAATCAAACTGATAGATTCTCTTAATCTCTACTATTTTAAAACTGATCGAAAACTGTAACAAAAAAGTTTTTCTTCTTTCGTCTTCCTCATGTCTAACAGGCGCTTCCTTAATCTGCATCATTTCGACAACCATCATCACCATGATCTCTCTAACTCTCTCATAAAGCCCCTTTTAAGTACTGACTTGCAATTTAATGAAATGGATTTATTGGCGGCCAGGGTAGACAACGATTGCAAACGAGGAATCGCCGCATTGGCATTCATGTCACGTTTAGAAGACGACACGGCGCACGCGACCTCCCAGGCCCGACTCCATCCGTCTCAAATTCTTCCAGGGAAATTCATTTTCCTCGCCTACATGTACATGTATTTTTTTTTCTCTCTGCTTCTTTTGCAACACACACAAAGTCCTGATTAGGGTACTCCATGTAGTAGTGTATTGTGTGAATTTTTTGGAAGAGATGGAGGCAGAGTTTTCGAACTGCTTGGAGAATGAATGTACATGTATAGATCTACAATGTATGGTAGTGGGGATGAAGGAATAGGAGGGAAAGGCGTTTAAAGGGATTGGGCATCTTTGTCTCAGATTCTAATGAAAATCCTGGATTGAGCTCATGCTGTAATGATAATTATTTACCCTTAGGTCAGTCAGGAATCCCATGACTTTTACAAGCCGATGCGTGTCTGATTATCAAGATATTTATGATTGGAAATCGAAATTTCAAAATTTGTTATCGTAAACTTTTTTATAACACTACAGTCTATTGGGGGGGGGGGGGTACAGTAAGAACGGTCACTCAAAGTTTTTTTC